CGCATCTTGAAATCTGCTAACAAACGGATGCTTGAAACCTCTTGATGCCATCTATTATCTCTACACTTTTTAAACTGAATATAGGAAAAACCAATCCAGTTTGAAGGAATACATTCACTTTAAGAACTGAATATTTAAAATTGCAAAGAACATTAAAAATTATGTAAATCAAAGTCTATATCAGAAAACAAAATTGTATGGAACATAATGCGTGTATACCATACTATTTTGGCATAAAAAAATCAGGGAATGGAACTTCCAGCACAAGGTCAAACAAATAGTTCACATTTTTTACATGCCGTATTTTGTGTTTCCGAAATGGTCAGCTGCTAAAGTCATTAGTCTCGTGTGTAGAGCATGGATTTATCACATGTGGTGACAGTGATATCCGACATAGACCGACCAGTCGCCTTGCGGGGTTTTCCCCATCCAAGTATCTCCCTCAATCGGGATTCAATCCCAGCTGCGACAAGCTCTAAGCTCCCGACCGATCTCTTGGCATGTGTGGTAGTGTAGAGCATGTTGTGTAAGGGGTGAGGATAAGATAAAGAAAAGGAAGGAAAGATGGCGCGCGGTCCGATTCTCGTTTGTTAAGGTACAGCTCCGTCATTCACCTGGGGTATATAGGAGAAACCAGAGAAAAATACCTATCAATATACCCCAATATACCCCAATATCTCAATATACGCTAGAATGTTCCACAAGACAGCGGCTGAATTCGACCTACCTAGTATGTAGTGTCGATAATCCTGACACTTTCTTGACTGGAACCATGGACCTCCTAATCAGTGTCAACGACATCAGTTGATGACCTAAGCCACCTGATCGCATGACTCAGCCTTCCCAACGCGCTAATATAAAATTGAAATTTTGCAGTAACAATTTTCCAAAAAATGCGAAAAATAGATTACCAGGTTTCAACGGAAAAACTCGTTTTGGAGTCGAACCGGTCGTCGATTCAGGCCTATGCAGAAGAAGTGTTGTTTTTTGTTTTGTTTTTTCAAAAAATTCTGCCAAAATCTTGGTTCGTCTGTACGACCTGTCGACGTCCGACTGTTCTGACTGCCCGACTTCCGTCTGTCCGTCTGTCCGACTGTCCGTCTGTCCGACTGTCCGTCTGTCCGTCTGTCCCTCTGTCCGTCTGCCTGTCTGCCCATTTGCCCGTCTGAAAATCTGTCCGTCTGTCCGTCTGTGAACAATACTAGCACAGAAATCATACGTAGTTTTATATTGACAACACTGACGAGCACGGGGATTGATGATGATGATGATGATGATGATGATGATGAGGAAGAAAAAGAAGAAGAAGAGAAAAGTGCTAAGAACAGAGGAAAATGAAAAATATTGAAATGGGCGAAAGAGAGAAAACTAAGAAATACTGTAATACGAGTACGTAATCCAATTCAAACACGAATGTTTTCTGTAATAGTTGAGAAAGATCACTTACTAATAAATTTGTATTCATCCTCACTACTGGGGGATACCAAACGAAATAAGTGATTTTGCTGATATTGATTGGTTTTGTATAGATTTCGAAATTATTGTGTTCGTGGGCACATTCAAATATATCTTCCATTTTGTGAAGAGATTTTGAATATACCTGGTCCGTGTACATGCTTGTAGCGCAGAGCGAATTTAGAATTCATGGATCCACAATCTCGTTTAATCTCTCAATTACATTTGGAATAGGAAGATATTTACACAATGATCGGAATTGCAATTACAGTTTACGCTCCAGCTTTAATTGCTCACTCAATATTTTCTAACAATGCGATATCACGGAAATATTTCTTTGCTTTCGTACTATTGCTTTCGTACATACTTTGAATACCATTTTTTACAGCTTACACTAATTTGTACGTTTAGTGAACTCAATGTGCTAATCAACTGCGTTCAGGGCACAGTTGAGTTTGTTTCGCTAAGCACGAGAAAAAAACATTGGTAGAACAAAAGTGAAGGGTAGCGAGAGTGTTGTCTTTGATAATGGTAATATTTTTACTTTATCAGTGGGGAACTGAATAATATATAAAATTCATCTTCTGAATAAATAGCAATTAAATATAAACTACGTAGGAAGGTATTTATTTGCCAGAAACAGTTAAAAACTGTATGTGACATGCGTTGGGGAGAAGTTAAATTGAAGTTACATTTATGTCCAGAAGCAACCACAGCAAGTGGGTCATTGACCCACAAGCTGAAGTAAAATACAGGTTCTTTAGAATTGTACAATATAAATGGTAAAAAAATACACTTAATGTCGTTGTTAAAATGAATATTACTTTTCTTTTGAATGATCGGTACACATCGGTGTAGTCTCTAATTGTATAGAAACAGTTGTGCAGCAGAAAATATTTTGTTTGGGACGTAAACTTTTGTATCGAATTTAATCGTTTAATGTCATCTGGCAAGCTGTTGTAAAATAATGTACATGTATTGTGTGAGGATTTTTTGTAGTGAGCTGTTGATACTGTCACCTTATGAATATGATTACTACGTCGAGTGTTGTAGTTATAGATAGCAGCGATTGCTGAAAATATATTCCCGCACTTAAGTAAGTCATTTTTAATAAAAACTACTGACTCATAAATCAACAGGCAAGGTAATGGTAAGATTCCTAGATTAATGAAGAGAGGCTTACAAGGATAACGTGGGTGGCATTTGCTTATTATTTTGTAATTAAAGTCTGGGAATTATAAGATGTATTTCCCCAGAATATTATGCCATATCTCAGGCGGGAATGAACACATAAATATCCACTACGAGCACTATGGAGGCTGCCTGAATTTGAAAGAATTCTGAAAGTGTAGCATAAAGAACTTAATTTAGAGTTCAATTCATTTCAATGGGCGTTCCATTTAAGGTTTGACTGAATCGAAAGACCTAAATATTTTGTTACCTTAATATCACACAATGGCACACCGTTCATCTTCAATGGAGTGCAGAGTTGTTTATTTCAAATGAAAAACAGCATTGATACGGTTTTCTTTTAATTTCTATTAATTTGTTATTACGGAATTGCGGAAATGTCTGATGGTGAATTTTGTGGCTGAAGACCCTTAGTTCGGCAGCAATTCTTGAAAAGTATTGATTAAAGAGATTAGCCACTGTTGCCGGATTGTCCACATTTCTATCGTTATCTTTTAAAACAACTGTCTCTACAAGTTTTCTAGTTGATTTGATCTAATTTTTTACTATATTCCATATTGCTTTTGTTTTATTATTTGAGTTCGAAATATCTTGCTCATGTTTCATGATTTTAGCCTGCCTTATGACTTTTCTTAACAATGACTTGTATTTTTTAAAGTTGAGAGGGAAATCTTGAGATACGTTACTAGTGTTATCCAAGAATTGCATTTCCTTGAATTTAATTTTCTTTTTGGAATGGGAAAGCAAGTGTTAAAATGAAGTGAAAGCGTTGAAAAAAAAGTTGTTTACTGCACTGCTAATGTACCCATCTTATTATTTGATATTCCACGTTCTGTGGCAAACATTAATTTCAAATGTCAGACTAAGTAGGATTATACTTCAAGCAAGGAGCACATTTTCAGTGTTTCTAAGTGAACATTATTCTGTCTAGTGTATATTCTTGTAATCGTTCAATATAGATTGGTATGAGTATTACCACCAAGAATGATTGTCTTAGACAACATGAAAATGAGAAGTAACCTCTTTCACTTAAAGATAAACAAGTAATGTTCTAGCAGGATTTTTTTATTCC